GTGACAAATTTATTATTTGTTTCGCCTATGTTATAGTTCAATATACTTAAAACTGAGAAAATATTGCAATTTTGGGCCAAAATTAGCCACTTGTACTGGCAATTAATTGCGGACCATAACGAGTGACCGAACCGTATATACGATAATTCGTCGCTTTTCTCTTCTTTTGAACTTGCTCCTATGATACCACTGAATAGAAATTATTGAAAAGTAGTAAATTTATTACTCGTTTTGCCCGAGTTATACCTAAATATACTTAAAACTGAGAAAATGTTACAATTTTGGGCCAAATATTCTCGACGTGCGTGGCAAGTTAACCACTTGCGCTGGCAACTGCGGACCGTAACGAGTGACCGAACCGTATATACGATAATTCGTCGCTTTCCTTTTCTTTTGAATTTGTTCCTATGATACCACTGGACAGAAATTATTGAGAAGTAATAAATTTATTATTTGTTTGCCTCGGTTACATTTAAATATACTTGAAACTGAGAAAATGTTGCAATTTGGGACAAAACGTTCAGACATTCCAGCGCAAGAGGTTCAGCCCGGAGGAACCATTTTCCACGTTTGTTTCAATGTTGTTGCAACTTTCAGTGGGAACTGAATTGATTCAAACTGGGTGTCGCGCGAGTGTGTTTTCTCTTGAGAGAATATCGAACACAGAGAAAATATCTGTTCACCTTTCGACTCGTTAAAGAGTCAACAATTGCATTAACGATGTTAAAAACAAGTTAATATGGCGGACTTTGGATTTCTGTAATTGTTTGCGAGAGATGCGGACAGATTCGTCGAAATTAATATTAATCTTTTCAAACAGAAACACGATTCTACGAATCTGCTTGCTTCAATTAAAAAAAAAAAAGAATCAACTGCTCTGTAACATAATATTCTATTTACAATTTTGTCGAAGAAAATTTCAAGGAAAATAAAATTTAATATTTCCTCATTCTAGATTTAGTTTCAAGTTCGAAACACGTGATCTCTAATGCACGAGAGTTTAATACTGAAATATTACAATATATATAAAATTGGATATGTAAAATTTCATTCGTACAAACTTAAGTCGAGACTCGGAGAACACTGTCGATTAAGATTCGATTAATCCAAATATGTTTGAACTCGTTTTGCAATATCGTTCCAATTACCTTCGCTCGGTATAATAATCTAAACGGTACGTTTCAATTAAACGTCCATATGGCTGTTTATCTAGCTTTCGAAAAAACCAATTTCGATGATTATTGAATTACCGTGACAAACAGAATTTACAGTGCTCGGATCGGAAATATCTGAAATACTCAAGATACTAAAACATACTTTTCGTCCAACGATTTTTCATCCTGGAAGAACACCCTATATCTAACAATTTCGTGAATATTGTCTCGTACTATTGTTATTATAATAACAACATTATCTCGAATGATTGTTCACTTTATTATCAATTTTATTATCGAATATTATCTCGTGCACAAATTTTTCTACCTAGAGATATTCAAATTACTCCGTCTTGCGACTATAAAAATATCCGTACAATGACATAGTCATTCTCAACTTGCTGACAAAATCTGTATTTCCAAAATCGAGTCGATTGATGTAATAAAATTACGCTGGAATTCTGTTTACGAAATTTTCTGCTCGATCAAAACCAACAGCCAGCGAAAAATCATAAAATGATCGTGAAGGCTGTGGCATCGACCGACTCCGATTCCAACGAACTGTGCCGCGGTTGTCCACCGCGACATGTTCACACAACCATTCGGCCGAGAATGATTTTGTAAAAACAGAGAGACACGATGCGAGCCGAACCGATTGAAAATAACTTAAAGCCGACTCAGTCGAGAAGATACATGGAAACGGAACGAAGACACTACGGGCGGGCGTGTTGCGTTCGTAAGCGGGGTATTATATCGGGTGAACAGCAAAAAAAAGAAAAAGAAACAATTGTCACTCGAAAGCTCGTACAGTCACATTCTGCAAGATTCGGCAGTGTCTGTCTCCATTTGTACAAAATGGCCGGTGTATCCTGTACTCGGACGAGTAGATGAAACAAACACAAGCGTACGTGTGTCGTATAAAAAAAATATACGTATATATATATATATTATTTATATTAAATATATATTATATTATATTATATAATAAATATATATTATATTATATTATATAATAAATACATATTATATTATATTATATAATAAATATATGTCTATATATTATATTTAATATAATATATATTATATTTATATTAAATATGTATATTATATTATATTATATTATATAATAAATATGTATATTATATTTAATATAATAAATATATATATTATGTTTAATATGTATATTATTTAATATAATATATATTATATATATAATATTTAATATAATAAATATATATTATGTTTAATATGTATATTATTTAATATAATACATATTATATATATAATATTTAATATAATATATATTATATATATATAATATTTAATATAATAAATATATATATACAGGATGTTTTGTAAGTTTCTGGAGCTGATTGTACGCCTAAAAATAATGAAAAAAAGTCACATAAATATATGTCCTACCTGTCTTCGTTTATGAGATACAATGAATTCTCTGTTTTAATTACTTTTACAAAAGATGCTCGAAATGACCACCATGCATTTGAAGACAAGCCTGCACGCGTCTTGTCATTCATCTGGTTACTCTCTCTGTCATTCCTGGTGTTTC